ATGGCATGGGCATGGCATGAGATATGGCATGGCATGGCATGAGATATGGCATGGCATGGCATGAGATATGGCATGGCATGGCATGAGATATGGCATGGCACGGCAATTACCTTGCAATAAGCTGGAGAGAGGTGAATGGCATGGGAGCAATCTTCCTCAGCTTGCATCAGCTGGCCCATTTTCTGACGTCATACACCCATGGGTTGGGTGTATATGCACGCACATACACACACTTGATTGAATATAAAGTTATATATAAGCATGTGAGCAATTTTCCTCGAAATTACAACAGCTGGCCCATTTTCTGAAGTCATACACCAACGGGTGTATATACACGCACATATACACACTTGATTGAGCATAAATTTATATATAAGCATGTGAGCAATCTTCCTCAGCTTACAAGCCTCACATCAGCTGGCCCATTCTCTGACGATCATACACCAATGGGTGATCATACACGCACATATACACGCACACATGCACACATAGACATGCATCACATATTAGCAAGTGGAGCACAAAAAAGGCGACGACAAACGCAGGCAGACACATGGCAACGTCGAAGAGCCACTCACGTGCAGACACGTGGCACGATTGGTGAAGAGCACTGCCAGCAGGTCAGGTGATGCCAGGGGAGCATACCGGAGGGCCTGTGGCAGAAAAGGACAAAGAATGGAACGAAGGAGAAAGATACTAAGGATGGGAGAGGGTACGGACGGAGGGATAGTAGGGAGGGACGTTAGGGACAACAGAAGGGGTACTGAAGCCCCTGTGAACACCACTTGGGTGCCATGGTACTTTACGTGGCAGCAACTTGTGTAAACGCTGAAGTAAAAATAGAGCTTGCTCTAAATAACTTTTGCTCAACCCAAGTGGTGTTCACTAGGGTATGGACGGAGGGATAGTAGGTAGGGACGTTAGGGTCAACAGAAGGGGTACTGAAGCCCTGCTTTGAGAGGATCTTTTCCGACTTCCGGTTTACTGGAGGGGAATACTGGAGGGGAATACTGGAGGGGAATACTGGAGGCCTGCAACAGGGTAGAGAGGTGAAGGGATACCCATGGGATGATTCTCTTACTGTCACATAGCTAGCTGTAGCACACACCTTGGCCTCAAAACCTCACCTTGCCTTTAAGGGCCTCAAAGCCTCACCTTGCTGTAGCAGGTTACAGCCTCACCAGCTTCACCTTGCTACAGCCTCACCTTGCTGTAGCAGGCTGCAGCCTCAGCGAAATCTTGATCCGCGAATGCACGGCTTCCCGCGTCTTTGGCCTCCCTTGCAGCCGCCCCTCCTTGGCGCACGGGCCATTCCTGTCAGCGAGCGGAGCTACCAGCTGTGTGGAGGGGAAAGGCAGCGGGGAAGGGAAAGGCATAATGGGGGGAGTTGGTAACACATGCGTCTTTGGCCTCCCTCGCAGTCGTACCCTCCTTAGCGCACGAGCCATTCCTGTCAGTAAGAGGAGCTACCGGCTGTGTGGAAGGGAAAGGCAGCGGGGAATGGGGTAAGTTGGTCACACCCGCTTCGTTGGCCTCCCTTGCAGCCCCCCCTTCCTTGGCGCACGGGCCATTCCTGTCAGTGAGCGGAGCTACCAGCTGTGTGGAAGGGAAAGGCATGACGGGGGGAGTTTGAAACACCCGTTATAAGTTGACAGATGCGACTAATAACGCGGACATCAACACCAAGAGGCGACCCGGTCGAAGAATCGCCAGCGTTTGAATTCCTCTCGAGAATGTAACATTCAACGGCTGTGAGAGCGGCAAGGTTCGGTTGGAGAAGAGTTTGCCTGCGACTTATAACGCGGACATCACGATGCAGCCCACCTCACCTTGTCGAATACTCGCCGGTGCGAGCGGTCCTCGAGAATGCACCTCTCGACGGCCGCGAAAGCCGCGAAGGCACGGCGAGAGGAGAGATGAGTTTCGATCTCGTCGATTAGGAAAGGCGGCAGGAGACGCTGTAGCGCGTCCATTGCGCGCTGAGCGGCAGGCAAGGGAGAAATCTAGGAGGTGCTATTCTGGAGGTGCTATTTAGGAGATGCAATCTGGGAGGTGGTTTCTACAATACGAGAACAGTCGCTGCTGAATCACCCCATCAATCATAACAAGCTTCCGGCGTTCGCTGTAGCCCGTCCGTTGCGCGGACTAATATTTTAGGGAGTCGAATTCGCGGAGGAATCTAGGCGAAGGTGAGGCCAAATTCGCGCGTGCCTCCACGTGACAAATGGGAAGATTCGACGTTCGCGGTAGTAGCTGCCTGGGACAATCCGAAACAACATGGAGGGAAAAAGACGACTAAAAAGGTTATACTAAAACGAATAGTACCATTAGTAGTTTTAAAAACACTAAACTAAACCATGCTGCTACATTAGTCTCTCTATTACACCGCCTTGTCACAACATTAACTGTCAGAACTGTAGTCTACAAAACGACTCCTGCATTACTTCCTAAGAACCCACACAAATGTTACAGTTCCATAACCCAGATGCGTACTATATTCCTCCCTCTCCTCCCCCATTCTTCATTCCCTTCCCCTAATACTCCCTCCCATTTCCCCTGCCCTATCTGCACACACCACTCCACCACCACTTCCCTTCCTCCTCTCTCCCTCTACTTCAGCTTTGCTGCTTTTCCTCTACCTCTCCCTCTCCCCCGCCCCGAACCTCGTCCCCTCCCTCCCCTCCCCCCACCTGCCAGCTCCCCAGCCTCACTATTCCCGTCCTCCTCTTCACCCCCTCCCTCCTCCCGCTCCGCTTCCAGCCCCTCCTCCCTCTCTTCCTCCTCTCCCCCCCGCCTCCTCTTCCTACTCAGATTCTCCTCATCCACACTCTCCATACTCCCTGACTCTCCCTCCTCCCCTCTCCTCCCCCCTCCTCGCCCTGCTCCCCTTCCTCCCCTCCTCCCTCCTCCTGCCACCCTCCCCCTCCTCGCCCCACCCCTCACAGAGCTGGTAGGTGACCCCCCCACCCCTCCTGCACTCAAACCCTGAGACTCCGACCCAGCAGCTGTTGCTTTCCTTGCTGATCTCCGCACGGGCTTATCCACCTCCTCTCCTGCATACCCGTCCCCTTCTCCCCCCCCGCCTCTGCGCCTCACACGTCCCGACGGGGTCTGGCTTCCCCCGGGTGCTCTGGCCGGTGTGGCAGGGTTGGCAGCAGGTTTGGAAGGGTCAGGGGCGGTTGTAGCAGCGGCTGCAGTACCAGGAGTTCCTGCTACAGCTGCTACAGCCAGATGAGCCTCCACTTCCACAACACCTACTGCCACTCCTGCACCATCTGCCTGCTCCCCTGCAGTCCCCACAGCAGCAGCAGCAACAGCCACACCAACAACAGCAGCACCATCCCCTGCCCCTTCAACTTGCATTCCTTCAGCATCCTTGAATGCCTCCTCCTCCCCTTCACCATCAGCATCAGCGTACCCATCAGCATTGTCAGCATCAGGAACATCATCCCCACCATCCTTCTCTCCCTCCTCGCCTTCCTTCCACCCATCCCTCTCCTCCTCACCCATCCCTGACGGGCCCGCACCAGCAGGCGACTTGTTAGAACCAGCACCACCAGCACCGGCACCCCACAGACTAGCCAAGCCAAATGCAGTCCGTCTGCATTGCTCCAGTGCCCAGTTCCGACGCGGCTTCGGAGGCTCAGTCATGGGTGGAGCAGCAGCGGCAGCAGCAGCGGCATCTATGGCAGTGGTTACACCCGCCCCAGCAGCAGCAAGTGCAGAGGTAGGGGTGGTTGGAAGAGCGGATTTCGCCCCTGCTTCCTTCCCAGGAGTTGCAAACATACCCCCCTCTCCGGCGTTCCTGCCAACCCCCATTGCTGCTGCAGCGGCTGCTGCCTCCACTTCCTCTTCTGCTGCTGCTGCAACTGCTGCCTCTGTTGGCGGCACCTGAGATTTCGCCTGGGCCTGGCCAGGTGAGGCCAGCAGAGAGGTCTCCATGGTGGCGAGTTCAGACTTGAGCACTCTGAGCCGCTCCGCTTCCCTCGCCATGCCCTCTCGCTCCATCTCCACTGACCGGCGCTGGGCCTGCTCGAGGTTTTCGGGGGGGGGGGGTGGGGGGGGAACAAGGGAGGAGAGGGGTTATACAGGAAGAACAGTTGAGGCAGCTCAAAAGACTTCCCTCACCATGCCCTTCGCTCCAACTCCACTGACCAGCGCTGTGCCTGTTCAACGTTTTGGGGGCGGAAGGGAGGGAAAACGAGGGGAGGGGAGGGGACAAAATTTTACGGAGCTGTTGAGGCACCTCAAAAGGCTTCTCTTGCCATGCCCTCTCGCTCCGTCTCCACTGATTGACACAGGGCCTGCTCAAACTCAAGACTCTATTTTTGAGGCGCCTCAAAAATAGGGCCTGCTCAAACTCAGGAGAAAGGAAAAAGCAGAAAACCAATTGCATTACCAAGGGAAAGACAGGCAGCAGGAAAAGAACAAACAAACCATCCTCAGAAACCATCAGAAACCTCAAACATTGCCCAACCTCTCTCTCGCACACCAAGCTGCTTTACAAGAACCACACAAAAAGCGGCAGACAAAAAAAAAAAAAAAAGCCCTCACCTCGAGCTCCTTCTTCTGCATCTCAAACTCCTCCCGCTCATCATTCAGCCTCTCCCTGGCGAACCGCAGCTGCTCCGCCAGGTCATGGCCCCCAGCGATCCAGCTCGACCCCCCCGACAGCCTCCGCTCCGCGCTCTCCGTCTTCCTGCCCGCCTCCCTCTCCTCCTTCAGCTGCCGCCGCTGCTGGTGCAGCTCCTGAATCATCTTCTGCACATCGTCCCAGTGCCGCTGCGTGTCCGCCCTGTCCCTCGCCACCGCCTCCCTCTCCCTCTCCAGCTTCTTCCTCTCCTCCTCCACCAGCGCCTCCCACTCCTCCCGCCGCCTCCTCTGCTCCTCATCAAGTCTCCTAGACCGCATCATCAGATCCCGCTCCTTCTCCTGCCGTTCCTTCTCAGCAGCAGCCCTCTCGGACTCAATCCCGGCCAGCGTGGTACCCACCTCTTCCTCCGCCTTCGCCCGGCGGGACACCAGCTCCAGGTTCTGCCGCTCCACCTCCTCCCTCTCCTCCTTGGTCTTCGCCCGCTGCTTCTCCAGCTCCCTCAGCTCCCTCTCCTGCCGCCGCCTCAGCTGCTCCACCTGCAGCACCTCGGCTTCCTTCTCCGCTATCTCCTTCTTCAGCTCCACTCGCTTCACCACCATCTCATCTCTCTGCCTCTTCTGCTCCTCCCTCTCACCCTCGATTCTCGCCCTCTCCTCCTCCACTGCAAGCCTCTTCTCCTCCAGCGCCTCCCGCATCCTCCTCAGCTTAGCCTTCTCCTCTTCCATCCGGGATTCAAATTCTGCCATCCTTTCAGCCAGCCTCTCAGCTTCAGCAGCGGAACGGGCAGCCTGAGCAGCAGCAGCCTCCTCCCTCTCCTTCTCAAGCGCGACTCTCTGCTTCTCCCGCTCACCCTGCAGCTCCCGCACGCCCTCCCTCACCTTCGCCTCCTCCACCCTCAACCTCCCCCTCTCCCTCTCCAACTCCTCCATCTCCTCCCTCAGCTTCGCCCTCTGCTCCTGGATGTTTCTTGCCGCCTGGATCGCTTCCACATGCTGCTTCTCCAGGCCTTCTAACACCGCAATCCGCTCCCCAATCTCCTTCCTCTCCTTCTCCCGCTCCTCCCTCGCCCCCTCCCTCTCCTCCTCAATCTTCCTCAGCAGCCCCTCGTTCCCAGCCCGTTCCGTTGCCAGCTCCGCCCGTTCAGCAGCAGCAGCGGAACTCATCTTCTCTAGGAGCTCCTTCTCCTTCTCCAGCTCGCCCGCTGCAGCAGCAAGCTTCTCTCTCTCCGCCGCCACACTCTCCCCAGCCTTCACTGCTGCTTCCTGCTCTGCCCTCGCCCGTGCCGCAGCCATCCGCACCACCTCCGCTTCCCTCTCTGCTGCAGCCCTAGCCGCCTTCAGCTCGGCAGCAGCACCCCTAGCATCCGCCTGGTCCTTCTTCAACTCCCGCCTCTCCACAGCCAAAGCAGCCCTCTCCGCTCTCACCTCCTCCCTCACCCCAACCACCTCCTCCTTCTCCTTCCCCACTGCCTCCCTCTCCTTCCCCACAGCAGCTCTCTCCCTCGCCACCCTTGCAGCATCCTTCTCTATCTTCGCCTCAGCAGCCGCCTTCTCTTTCTCCACCGCCTCCCTCTCTCTCCTCGCCATAGCGGCTACATCCAGCCGCTCCCTATCCAGCCTCCCCATAGCAGCAGTCACTTCCGCCCGCTCTGCAACCAGCCCCTCCCTCAGCTTCTCCAGCTCTTCCCTCGCTCTCTCCATCCTCACCCTCTCGCCCTGCACATCCGTCTTTTCCAACTGAAGCGCCTTGATCTCCCTCTCCAGTTCCGCCTTCTGCTGGCCCAGCTTCACCCGCTCCGCTCGGCTCTCCGCCAGTTCCTGCCGGGTATTGGTCCGCTCCTCCCGTGCCTTCTCCCTCTCCACCCGCACCTCAAGCAGCTTCTTCTGCACGCCGTCCTTCTCCTTTTCCACTCTCTCCCGTTCCTTCAGTAGCGCGGCCCTCTCCTTCGCCAGAGACTCCCTGTCCCTCTTCACCCCCGCCGCCTCCCTCTCGACCTTCTCAAGCGCGAGCTTCCGATCCACAGCCACGCTCTCTCGTTCCACAGCTACCTTCTTGACAAAGTCCCGCTGCTCTTCTCCCAGCCTCGCCCTCTCCTGCGCTATCTCCTTCTTCTCCTTCTCTAACGCGTCCATCTCACCCTTGGCCTTCTCCCACTCGTTCCTTGCCTCCTTCGCCCCTCGTTCCGCCGCTGCCCGTTCCTCAACAAGATTTTTAATCGCTGCCCGATGCTCAGCTGCCTCCTTCCTAGCAGCGTCCCTCTCTTCTCCCAGCAAACCCCTCTGCCTGTGAACCTCAGCCAGCGCCTTTTTCACCTCCTCGGATTCTCTCTCCACCTGCTCCCTCTCCTTCGCCACCACCTCTCTCTCAATCCGCACCTTCTCCCTCTCCGCCTCTAACCTAGCCGCCGCCTCCTGCTTTTCCATCTCCACTCCTTCCCTTTCCATCTGCACCACCTGTTTCTGCTGCTCAATCTCTGCCTCCATCCTCTCCCGCTCTCTCGCAAGATCATCCCGCGCCCGCACCACCTCCTCCTCCCTCCCCGCTACAGCCGCCAGAGCCGCCTCTACTTCACCCGCCCGTTCCGCTACAGCCGTCTCTCTCCTCTTCAGCTCTTCTGAAGCCGCTTCTAGAGCCATCTCCCGGGCGCCCACCTCCTCGATTCTGCTGCCGATTTCAACCTCCTCTGACTGCAGCGCCGCTCTCTGGAACGCCAGTTCTTCCATCTCCCTCTCCACCTGCTGCCTGCCTTCCTCCACCTCCTTTCTCGCCCGCGCCACCTCCTCTTCCTCCTCTCTTAACCTCCTCCTCTGCTCTTGAGCCTCCTCTGACAGGCGTTTCCTCTCCTCCTCCACTGCTTCTCGCTCTGCCCGCACGGCGCTCAGCATCTGCTGGTGCTGCTCCTTCCACCCTTCCTTCTCCTGCTCCAGCTCCTTCCTCCCCTTCTCCACCTCCCCCAGCATCTCCCTCACCTTCTCCTCCTCACCCTTCACCGCCTTCCCCTTCCGCTCCAACGCAGCATGCTGCTGCGACAGCTGGGCAAAGACCGTCTTCTTCTCCTCAATCTCCTTCCTCAGCTCGGCGCGCTCTGCCTTGAGCGCCTCTCTCTGCCCTTCCACCTCCGCAGCAGCCTCGTCCAACGCCTTCCGCTCCTCACCCACCTTCTCCCGCTCCCTCTCCACCTCCTCCCTCTCCGCCTCCACCTCCTCTCCCTTCCTCCTCCACTCCGCCTCGCTCCTCCTCCTCTCCTCCTCCAACTCCTCCCTCCCCCTCTCCAACCTCGCTTCAACCTCCCCGTCTTTCCTCCGCACCTCCTCCCTCTCGTTCTCCACTTGAGCCAATGCTTTCGCCCTCGCCTTCCCAACTTCCACTTCCATCCGCTCTACCTCCTCCCTTTGCCCATCCAGCACCTCCCACTCCTTCTCAAACCTCTCTTTCTCCGCTTTCAGCTCCTGCACTCGCTCCTCCGCCTCCTCGAGCCTCTCCTGCGCCCTCTGCATTTCCGCCTGTGCTGCCTCCCGCCTGGCCCCCGCCTCCGCTATAGTCTGCTCCGCTTTAGCCAGAGCGGCTGCTGCTTGGCGCTTCTCCGCGTCTGCTTCGGCTCTCTCTGACCGCACTCTCTCCCGAAGGTCCTCCAGCTGCTGCTTCTCCGTCTGCGCCTCTGCTCTGGCTGCTTCCAACCTGCACGCCAGGGAAATTAACAGAGCAATTCAGGCATGAAGCACATAGCAAACGGAAGTTATTAGCCAGAAAAACCACAACGATTGCTGCAACATGAAGCTTAAATAACAACCAACCATAATGCCCCCAACCGGCTCCGCCCCCCCACACTCCTAACCTCCCACCCTCAATCCCTGCCGTTCCCCATCCTCCCCCTGCGCCCCCCACCCCCCCCACCTGCCTCAAATCCCCGTCTTTTGAGGCGCCTCAAAAATCCCCGTCACTCCCACCATTAACCCCCAGCGCCAAACGTAAGCCTCACCTCCTCAACTCCTTGTCCAGCTGAGCCTGTCTCTGCTCCACCTCCCTCTCCCTGCTCGCCGCCTGCGCCACCAGCCCTTCCGCCTCCGCCATCCTCTCCCCCGCCCTCTCCGCCCTCCTCTGCGCGCCCTGCTCGCGCTGCTCCGCCAGCTCCTCCCTCTGCTCCACCTGCGCGCGCAGGCCCTCCACCTCGCTCTCCTGCGCCTGCAGCCTCTCCCGCTCCGCCTGTAAGACCACATACGGCAAAAGCAAGACAAGGGATTTTTAAGGCGCCACAAGATGCAAGTCAACCCTCTCTCTGCGCCACTTGCGTGCGCAGGCCCTCCGCCTCGCTCTCCTGAGCCTGAAGCCTCTCCCGCTCCGCCTGCAAGACAGCAGATATCAAGAGTCTCCAGCAAATGAAACGCGTACGAGAAGACAGACAGCTCTATGATACTGGTAGTGAAAACAGCTCCCGCCTACTGACTTCCCCACCCCTACCACCACTCACCCCCTCTCGTTCCCTTCCCTCCCCCCCACACTTTCCTCCCACCCCCACTCCCCAGTTCTCCCTTATCCCCCCTCCCATCTCACCAGCAGCGCCCTCTCCTTGCTCTGCAGCTGCGCCTGCATCTCCTCCAGCTGCGCGCGCCCACTGCTGAGAGACGCCTCCACCTCGTCCAGCCCCTTCTTCTCACTCGCCTGCTCATAGGGCAGCACACAGAGGCGGTCAGACACAGGCAAGAAGCAAGCAGCAGCAGCAAACACAAAAAGGGAAGAAAGAATAAGAAAGAGTCTCTTTCCCTCTTCGTGATGGGAAGATAAGGGTCAGAGAATCTTGCAAGCGCGACCCCCGACACATGCAACACCATAGCAGGTCGGATTCGAAATCTGTTCAGCCCCAGTGTCTCACCAGCTTGGCCTTGAGGTCGTCCAGCGCACCCTGCCTCTTCCTGAGACTCTCCTCCCACTCGCGCACACTCACACAATTCCCTTTCTCGAACCATCCCTACAGAAGGAAATTAGGGTTTCAAGAAGCATGCAAGGTCTCAAGTACTGCGGCTCACCAGCTTGGCCTTGAGGTCGTCCAACGCAGCCTGCCGCTTCCTGAGGCTCTCCTCCCACTCGCGCACCCTCTCCTGCTCGCTCGCCACCCGCAGCTCCGCCTCCTTGGCGCGCATCTCCCGCCCCACCGCGTCCTGGCGGCAAGGAGAGAGCGGAGGGAGTGGCAAAGTAGAGAGAGAGATGGTAGAAAGGCACAGAGTATGGTTTTCGAAGCTTGGAACCACATTACACTCGCGCACCCTCTCCTGCTCGCTCGCCACCCTCAGCTCCGCCTCCTTGGCGCGCATCTCCCGCCCCACCGCGTCCTGGTCACGAAAGGAAGAGTAGCGGACAAAGACGTGGTGTCTTTAAGCTCTAAAAACACCATCTTAAGGTGGGAGACACAGTGGAGGTTGGACGAGACGGACACAGAACTTTGAGAGGGCGTATGCATACGCCAGCCAACACAAGGACACCAGCACCAAACAGCACCAGAGCCATACAAGAAGAGCAGCGCTTTCACTAGAGCCAGTTTTAGAGGCGCCTCAAAAATAGACTCTGCAGCGCTTTCACTAGAGCCAGTCAGCCACAACAGCCCTCCTGCACGACAGCCCCCCGGGGCCGCAGCCACCATACCTGTTCGCGTGCCACGAGCATGTCCTCCTGGACCGCCAGCTCGCCCTCCCGCTTCGCCAGCGCCACCTTCATCTCCGCCACCGCCTGCCCCTCCTTCCGCGCGCGCTCCTCCGCCGCCTCCGCCTGCTCGCGCGCACCCTCCAGCCGCCGCGCCTCCTCCTGCAGGCCCACCTTGCGCGCCTCCGCCTGCTGCTCCATGGCTTTGAGCTCGTCCATTGCTGCCGCTATGCGCGCCTCCCTCGCATCCAGCAACTTCTCACTCTGCAGGCCATAACCACACACGCACACACACACGTGCAGCGGCAGTTTAAAACCGTCACTTCCAACGGCGTGTCCAGTAAATGGCATCTTCCCAGCGCGTTGAGAAAGCATCGTCTACTGCGGGTCATTCCCAGCACGCAAGTGCAACAACATCTGATCTGACCCCCTACCTCCAGTATCTTCGCATTCCTTTGCTTGAGCTTGGCCTCCCAGTCACTCAGAGACCCCTTCTGAGCCTCCATCTCCCGTGCCTTGGCGTCCAGCCTGACAACATCACAAGCCATCCAGTGGCGCACACCATGAAAAAGAAAAGAAAAATATATGACTCATCCGAACATAACAAGGGGCAAACGTGTATAATCCAAAACAGACACCGAGAACCGTTCTTAGAGGCGGTTCAAGCTAAACCTCAAGAGTCGAAAGAGTGCACCCAAAATCTCCCCCATTTCCCCTTCCTTCCCTCCAAGTCCCAAACCTCCCCTCGGAAACGCCAAACCCCGCAACCCTCATCTCTCACCTGTCCTTCTCTGCCTGAACCTCGCGCCTGGCTGTCGCCTCCCGGGCCTCCAGCTCCTGCTGCTTCCTCTCCGCCTCCGCGATCCTCCTGCTCGCCTCGCTCCGGCTCGCCTCCACCTGCAGCCTCGCCGCCTCCGCCGCCTGGAGCTTGGATTCCGCAACCGCCATGGTGGCATTGGCCTCCGCGAGCGCCGTCTGCGCGTGCTTCTTCGTCTCCTCCACCTCCACCTGCAGCTCCTTCACCGCTCGCTCCATCTGCGAAAGATAAACAAATAGATGATTGTTATTTGTTTAAGAGGCACCAAACAGGCATCTGTTTTGATTGGTTCGTGACAAAGAGACGAAATGTGTGACGCCGAAAGAGAGCGAGCGGAACCAAGAGGAAAGGGCGGCAGCAGGAGGGGGCGTGTGAACAGCGACGTGGCAATAAGCGACAAGGAAACGGAGACGGGGACGGAGACGGGAGACGGGAGAACGTACGCTCGAAACGCAGTCCTGCTCGATGGCGAGCGCGTCTTGAAGCGCCTTCTCCCTCTCCTTGGCCTCGGCGAGAGCGACCCTGTGCGCCGTCGCCTCGCGCTGCAGCTCCGCCTCTGCCTCCTCCAAAGCTGCTCGCGCGTCCTCGTACTTGGGCAGCCACTTCTGCCGCTCCATCAGAAGCAGACCCATGTTGTACTGGTACTCGTACAGCTGACAGGAACAAGAAATGCGAAAAGAAGAAGCAGAGAATTATTAAGAATCTAATCAGATAGAAGTACGTCGAGTTAAACAGATGGGCATTTCCGCACCAGAAAAATAGAGGCACGATTCGTCCGGAAACGCATCACCAGCAGAATACCGAATGTCGAGATTTCCACATTATCCAGCTGACAAGCGTTAAGGAGGAAAAACCGATAAAACAGAAGCGGCCTTCTATTACCTCTTGGTCCAGCGAGTTCGCCTTCTCCATCAGCGCGTCCCGCTCTTTCCGCAAAACCGCAACCTCGTCCAACCCTGACTCGCGAAACCGTTGCCAGACTTGCTCCTCCTCTTCGAGCCTCGTCTCCGCAACCGGAACTATAGCTCGGTTCTGCCGTCCGGTCGACCTGGGAGGAGCTGGTTTCAACGACACTGCAGCGATGGCAGCCAATGCATCTTTCGCCACAGGCGGCGACGGGTTGCCTCGCGAAGTCGGGTTACCATCCACGGTTACGATGTCGGCACCGTCGGCGGAAATGAAGCCTGGTGTGCTGTTTCTGCGTCTGGCGCTGCTTCCAGGTGCTGCTGACGTGTCAAGAACCTTCGGCGTGGCATTCTTCATGGAAGATTTCGAAGCGGTGAGCTGAGGGGAGTTGAGCGGAATGTTATCAAAGGTAAGACGAGTAGCGGTTGCTGATATTGGCGAAAATGCTGGATACTGATGCTGATCCATGGCGGAATCTGCTTGGTTCAGATCAGCAGAAACCACAACCAAGACCGTTAACGAAAACTGATAAACGACCTAAGAAATAACCGCTCGTTAAGAAACCATGACAAGAAACCACACGGACAAAGCTGTCTGTCTGATGTCAATGCTTCTAGGCTAGGGTTGTCAATGGCACTGACAATGGAAGCCTAGGAAAACCTAGGAACCTAGAAATCCAAAAACCTAGATATCTTCAGCCGGCCTGTAACAAACTGGATTTGTCCTGAATCCTGATGTCCCGAGTTCTGTCCTGACAGATGGATGAGATGAGATGGAAGGGGATGTCTCCAGGATCAGGTTTTCACGAGCGCTGGAAGTGATTGTGTTAGCCTGTAACCACATCCTTGCGAAAAACCATAACGATTCGGGAAGTTGGGACGAAAATGTTGGAAATTCGTCAAGCTTGTTGCCAGCAGGCGAAATCAAGCTTTCGTCGTTTGGATTTTGCCAGACATTCCCCCGCGCTTTCCTGACGCAGTGGTTCGATTGCTGAGACTCGCTAGAATCAACCAGGGAACATCGCTATAATTCCCGGCTACAGTTTTGTGCAGCACCACTTACGTACAGTATCAGCTTCTTCCTCGCGCCGCGAACTGCAAATTTGCTGGTGCCACCTGAGCTGGCCGAATCGCGACTCTAACCAGACCTCACCGACTATAACCTATCCAAAACCTGCAAAACCTCGCCCCTGCGAGCGTACACATTTGCAGTTCCATTCCACCGAACACAAGGAAAATCGATCACAAGGAAAATCAACATCCGTACTCTCCCTCCCCCAAGTTGAAGCAAGCAGCAGGAAGAAAGCGAGCACACAAGCAGGCACATCGCAGCCTGCATACCTCACGACCATCCATTGCTAAGTCCCGCGTTGTGTGTTTCTGGACACGCTAAAACTTCGAATCCGTAGCCAAACCTCCCTAAATAATTCCAGCCATGGGAGGTCATACTGCCAGGAGAGACAGCTTTGAGCGACGGTTTCAAGCAGCCACGCTGCTCGTCACGGCGCTGTTGCTCGAGCTCGGAACCTGCTCACTCGCGTCGTCATCGTGGATCGCCTGGCCTTCGCAAAGTAAGATCCGTTCAATTCGGCTTGAACACCCGATTCCATCTCAGGTTTTCTTCTCGTCGGCCTCCTGCTTTGAGGCGCCTCAAAACGAAGATCCGTTCAAGTCGGCTTGAACACCCGATTCCTTTTCAGCTTGTCTTCTCGTCGGCCTTGTTTCGAGGCGCCTCAAAACTATACTTCTATCACGCGGTTTTGAGGCGCCCCAAAACAAAACTCAAGTCGGCTTGAACATCCGATTCCCTTTCAGCTTGTCTACTCGTCGGCATCCTGCTTTGCCTTGCGGCACGTCCAGACGAGGCCAACTAGTCAAGTCCACATCATGGTCCACTCTCATAACGGGTATCCTCACGCTGTCAGCATTACACATTGGGAAGGAAATAACTTCAAACTCTCTCTTTAACCCGCAACCTCCCTCTTCCCCTTCCCCTGCCCCTGCTAAAAGCATGCGGAAATTTTATTTTTGAGGCGCCTAAAAAATTGCTAAAAGCACGCGGAAAAATGCGTCATCGCCAGCGGCGAATGGTTGGGCGCGAGAAATATTCCGCTCTAAACGGGGAACAACTGTCCGCTAATCCCCCCTCTTTTTTTCCGCAACCCCATTTTCCGCTTTGTCCTGCTAAAAGCACGCAATAAGGTGCATTTAAATGCCATTTAGATTCCGGTTGCTACAACCCCAGTGGGGGTGCGACATCACCAGCGGCGAGTGGGTGGGCGGGAGGAATCTCCCGCCCAGGATCAACTGCCCGACATCCTTTTCTTCTTTTCTCAATTCCAATTTTCGATTTCTCCCGCTATAGGCACGCAAACGGGTGCGTCTAAGTGGGGGTGCGACATCACCAGCGGCGAATGGGTGGGCGGGAGGAATCTTCCGCTCTACACGGGGTTCAACTGCCCGTACGTTCGCTCCAGCCAGAACTGCCAGAAGAACGGCCGCCAGGACATGTGGTTTCAGAAGCTCAAATGGCGGGTACGCGTTACAGTTCGTTTCGTTTCAGTAGCCGTAGCTCAATCGTAGCGTCACTTGTTGTTCCTTGCCGAAAGCTTTTTCTTTAATTCCTTTCGGCATCCCCTTCTCTCCCAAAATCCAGCCTCACACGTGTAGGACTCGGCGGATGACTCCCAAGTTACTTCGTAACCAGCTTCGCGACAAGCTCGTGCTCGTATTTGGCGACAGTGTGGCGAAAAACTTCGCGACGTCGGTGATGTGCGTGCTGCACTCGTCGAGTCCCAACCTGTCAGAGCCGCTTCGCTTCGAGAACAGGGGCAGCGTCGTCGCACACGGCATGCAGGTGAGTCGCACATGGCATGCAGGCGATGATTGCACATAAGATCTCGGTGATAGTCTTGCAACATCATCCTGCCCTTCCTATCTCAAACCCGAACACAAACCCTTCTCCCACACCACCCTCCAACCCCTCCGTCTGGCGCTTCAGATCCCTCGTTACAACATCCGTGTCGCTTCAGTCACATCAAACTTCCTCACCAACGCCACGGACCTCCCTTTATCCTCCTCGTCGCCCGTCGGTGGCTACCGAGTGAATCTGGACCAGCTGCAGGACGACATCCTAAACCTCTTGCCCTCTGCAGACCTTGTCGTCTTCCAGGCAAGTTAATTGAACCCCCTGCTCTTCGCCCTCCTCCCTTCACCCTCCTCCCCTTCACCCTCCGCCCCTCCTCCCTCCTCCTCCTCTTCTCCCATCTTCGGCACGCGGGTGAATCTGGACCAGCTGCAGGGTGCCATTCTCAACCTCTTGCCTTCTGCATACCTTGTCGTCTTCCAGGCAAGTCATCTGATCCTCCCCACCCCCTCTCCCCCCCTCCCCCCCTCACTCGTTCTCACCTCCTGAGACAATACAAGTTTAACCTTGCAGACGGATCCGTTTTTTGTGAAAAGCAGCCAGCATCGGCTGCCTTATCGCACTCCCCCTTCCCCTTGTAAGCCACCGACTGACAGGTATCGGTGGTGGGGGAGGGTCAATGGCTGGGTTTTGCAGGCAGTGGAGTAGGCGGTGGAGGTGGAGCTCAAGAAGTAGCCCATGTCATTTCGCATGTAGTGGTAACCACCCACCCAGTCCACTTTGGGCCTTCCCAAACCACATCGTGAAGCTGCGCAGGCAAATTGGGGGAAGCGCGCAAGTGATTTCCACAAGTGTGTTTTGAGTCGACTCAAAATACAACTGAAGCGCGCTAGTGATTTCAACAAGGGCAACAACAGAAACAAAAAACGCTGTTGAGGAACCTTCTATTCGCGACTTGGAACCTTCCAAAATTGTCTGCAGAACACAGCCAATGTGATGTGAGTAAGTAACCCAACCAGCACCGGAGACACCGAGCTGACCACCACAGTATCCACCACAGAGGCCCATGAAATCGGCCTGCAAGCCACCGAGTGACAGTTATCGCTGGGGGGTCAATGTATGTAAGTAAGCCAACCAGCATTCCTCGCACACCCGCCCTCCCTTGCAGTCCACCAACTGACAGGTATCTCTGGGGGGTCAATGTATGTAAGTAACCCAGCCAGCTTTCCTCGCACACCTGCCCCCCCTTGCAGTCACCAACTGGTGGGCGTCTCGCACCAACAAGACATGTTCTTCATCGGGAGCACCGAGCTGACCACAGTATCCACCACAGAGGCCTACGAACCTGGCCTGCAAAATTTGAGGTTTTTTCACTCAAAAGCACTTTTTGTTACAATCACCCTCCCTCCTACAGGCCACCAACTGGTGGTGGTCTCGCAGCAACAAGTTCTTTATCGGGGACACGGAGCTGACCACAATATCAACCACAGAGGCCTATGAGATCGGCCTGCAGACGCTGAGGTTTTTTGTGGAGCGAGCGCAGCAGCGTGCTTTCAAGGGCACGGCGGTGCTGCTGGGCGCCTCCCCTACGCACTATGACGTGCCCCTGCAAGGTGTCGCTGGGGGCTCGTGCCAGGTCAACCAGAAGCTCACGTGGCTGGAGGTGAGGCTCAGGAAACAGGGAGTGTGGGCATGTGGGAGAGGGAGCATGGGAGTGAAAGAGACAATGGGACTGTGGGACTGTGGGTGTGGGAGTGCATGACACAATGCCGGCGTGGAAACACTGAGGTTCTTCGTGGAGCTGGCCATGTGTTAGCACATGTGTGCTATGTGTGTGGTTGTGTCATTGCCAAGAGGTGTTTGGCGTGTTCGGACTGACTGATAGTTCGGATAGCCCAACTTGAGCAGAAAGTTCTTTTGTTTTTCTAGCCGTGTCATCTAATCTGGACTGTACTGTGACCGTGTGACATCTGCATTCCCCGCTGCAGGCGCAGGAGGTTCGTCAAGGAGACAGCAATACTGAGCGGTTCAGAGAGGTGGAGAGGCGTGTGCTCTTGGAATCTCCTATTCAATACCTGGACGTGGGCCCCATGAGTGACTGGCGGCCAGATGGACACATACAGAGATGGATGGATCCAGGTGAGAACCGCTTTTGGGGAATTGCGACATTGGCCCTTGTTTGGGTAGATGAAATAGGAGCTTATATATGAAAATGGTAGCAACACTAGGTGGCTATGTGGGTGATGTGATCTGACCTTACATATCATGTTCGCGTGGGTTTAAGAGCTCCTTTGGTTTTTGGTTTTGGTGTCGCTATTTGCAGGAGGGGCGAGTCCATCCACGCGAGACGATTGCCGGCATTGGTGTGAAGGTGGAGTGACTGATGCGTGGCTGGAGATGTTATACAACACACTTCTACACTAGTGGACATGATATACTTGAGCATGTCCCATCTTTTCCATCCTTGATACAAAGATGCCAATGGCCAGAATCACATGCTAGCTGCAGCAATTGGAGCACTCGATTAAACGTCCACAGGACGTAGTAAAAGCTATCCGATATGAATCGATTTTACCCCTAATTTTATATTGCATATGCTGTTCGCTTCCTTGTGGTATTTGATTCATTTCGGGATTTATAAATGTGATGCATTGATCAGTTCCCAATGCATTGACAAATATTTGAATGGGACAATTGCGTTTCTTTCTACATGTGGTTATATGAAGGCGACTACGAGGAGCTACACGCTAGTTCCAACCTTGTGATGAAAATAACCGCGTTATAACGCTCAGCGCCATATTCTGATTCCCTTTCCTGAT